TTTAGATCCATGTATGTCTCTTTTAGGGTCCTCATTGTTGGATAGGTTCTCTGGGATTGTGAATTGTGGGCTGGTTTTCTTTGCTTTATCTCTAAAAGTCACTTATGAATGAGTACATATGATATTTGTCTTTCTGGGTTACCTCACTCAATATGATGTTTTCTAGATCCATCATTTTGCCTGTAAATTTCAAGATGTCATTTTTCCCTGCTGTGTAGTACTCCATTGTATAAATGTACCACACTTTTCTTATTCATTCTTCAGTTGAGGGGCATGTAGGTTGTTTCCAGGTTCTGGCTATGATAAATATTGCTGCTATGAACATAGTTGAGCACATGTCCTCGTGGTACGATTGAGCATCCTTTGGGTATACACCCAAAAATGATATTGCTGGGTCTTGAGGAAGGTTGCTTCTTAATTTTCTGAGAAATCACCATATTGATATCCAAAGGGGCTGTATAAGTCAGCACTCCCATCAGCAATGCAGGAGTGTTCCCTTTTCCCCGTAAGTTTTCATCTCCAGCATAAGTTGTCATCAATGTTTTTGATCTTGGCCATTCTTTCAGGTGTAAGATTGCATCTCAGAGTTGTTTTGATTTTCTCTGATGGCTAAGGATGTTGAGCATTTTCTTAAATGTCTTTGAGCCATTTTAGAATCCTCTGTTGAGAGTTCTCTGTTTAGGTCTGCACCCCATTTTTTTAAATTGAATTATTTGTTCTTTTGATGACCGATTTCTTGAGATCTTTGTACATTTCGGAGATCAGACCTCTGTCTGATGTGGAGTTGGTGAAGATCTTTTCCCATTCTGTAGGCTGTCATTTTGCCTTGTTGACCATATCCTTTGCTTTACAGAAGCTTTTCAGTTTCAGGAGGTCCCATTTGTTAACTGTGTCTCTCAGTGTCTGTGCTACTGGGGTTATATTTAGAAAGTGGTCTCCTGTGCCAATGCGTTCAAGTGTACTTCCCACTTTCTCTTCTATGAGGTTCAGTGTGGTTGGCTTTATGTTGAGGTCTTTGATCCATTTGGACTTGAGTTTTGTGCATGGTGATAGATATGGGTCTATTTGCATTCTTCTACATGTTGATATTCAGTTATGCCAGCACCGTTTGTTGAATTAGCTTTCTTTTTTTCCATTTTATATTTTTTGCTTCTTTGTCAAAAATCAGGCGTTCGTAGGTGTATGGATTGTTATCTGGGTCTTTGATTTGATTTCATTGGTCCTCCTGTCTGTTTTTATGCCAATACCAGGCTGATTCCTGTAAGTTGTCCCCTGCCCTCCAGTGCACACCATAACGTGCATGTGCACATATATGCACACATAAATGCTAATACAATAACGATTTTTACAAATACTTAAATGGGTGGTCCCTGGTATCCCTTCATAGAAAATGTCATCCTGTCAGCCTCTGTCCACCTCCCCTTCACTCTGCTTAGCTGTGGGAGATAGAAATCAAGGTGGGCTTGTTGTATATGGTCATTAAAACCGTGTTAACTTGGGTGTGGAGCATACTCAGTGGAAACATGCTTAGCGTGGACAAAGCCCTGGGTTCGATCCGTAGCACCCAAACCCAAACCCCAAGCCAAAAGACTCAAACACAACACTTCCCAAATTCCAGATCTAACTTCACAAACAAACCGAAGCCCCCAGGTAGCTTTAGATTTAGACCCATGCTGCAGCGGTGTCTAGAAGCCATGTAGGCTCTGGGCAGATGAGAAACAGCCATTGTAGCCTCTTCCGTTCCCCTTTTAGATGGGCCTAAATTAGAACAGGTGAAATTAGTGAGGAAGACTTGGGTTTTCTTGCTCCATTTTGCCAGTCCGCAGTTTCCCTTCTCTGGCAGGGCGTTAAGCGCCCTCCGTGCAGCTGCTGATGGACAGCGTCTTCCTGGGTCCCTCGCCGGGGCGTGGAGGGGGGGGAGTGGGGGAGTTGCCTTACTTAGCGTGCTTATCCTTCATAGCACCTGTTCCGATATCCTCATCATTCTTGGATTCGGAGATTCAACAATCAGCTCTTAAACGCATGAAGTCAGGGCCATCGAGGTGGGAGTAGTTGAGACCCCCCAATAACGGAGAGGTGGACTCCACAGGCCAAGCAGGGTCTGCCTTGGAGCAGAGAACTCACACTGCCAGGTAGTCACCGCGTTTCATAGTTACCGTAATTGGAAGCCCAGAGAACATGTGGGGGGTGGAGTCGGAGAACACACAACTAAATAGGAAAGGGGAAGGCCCGACTGGACTTGGCTCATTAACACTGTTGTAATTAACAGAGAATCCAGACCTAGTAGATTCTACTTTAATTTTTCACTGTCACTCGTGGGCACCACCGAGCAGAGCCCAGCCACTAATGTGTCCAGAGAACTAAGAAGTACACAAGCAAAGCGACAGGCTCCAGGAAGCTCTGGGATGGTGTCCTCTAGATGGCCGTGGTGGGTTCCCTGAGGAGCAGCAGACTGGGGTAGAACTGAATCTCTGTGTCAGCGCGGAAGCTTAATGAAGAGATAAAGAGTCCAACAGTGATAGGAGCCGTAGGATGTTGTATTCTGGAGCAACTCTTGATGATAGCTGATTCACCAGAGGTTCCTCGGAGTCTAGTTAGACGCATAACCTTCTAAATGGTTAGTCTCCTTCTCTCTAGATATATTCATTTTTTATTATTGTTAGACAGACGCAATGTAAATTTTATATATATTTCTAAAAGAAAAACAAAACCAAGCCTGCAACTCTGACCAGACACCTGATCTGGGTCCCCACAATAGAAAAGGGGTGAGCCTTGCTCTCAGTCTTGAGACCTAAGATTCAGTCTCCTGGTACTAGGGAGGCCAGCTTGCTTCAAGGAAGCCTTCGGCACTGCTGGAGGACATCCTGGAGATGAGCCTCTGAGTCTTTCCACCGTGCCATGCCCAGAGCAAAAGGCAGGCAGGCGCTAGACCGCTTACAGTCTCAGCTCCTGGCTCCGAGTTGACATGGACGCTGGAGGACCTTCGTGGCAACTCCTGTTCACCATTCCCAGAGTGGCCTGTGTAGCCCAGGAAAGAAAATGGAATTGGGGCCAAGGTTGATGTTAGGGCGGATGTTGTAGTCTGCAGATCCACGCTCTGGGGTGCTTTCCGAGCTCTCAGAGTCGTAATCGGAATTGCGTACTTGCCAGCTGGCTGCATCCCCTAGCGGCTAAGGCCAAATGGAAACCCAGAGAAAACCTGCAGAATTTTCTTTCCTCGCTGGGATAACAAGCAGGTCAGAGGGGATCCTCAGGGCCATGGCTGTGATTAATGTTCTCCATGAAGACTTGAAAACATGAATTCACAGAGGCACCGTTCCCACGCTTTATGGGATTTTACTTAGCTGTTGGGTGGTAGAGGAAGCAGGTTCATCTTAGAGAATGATTTCGGGTTATTGAACACTTCACCTGATGGTGACTCAAATTTGAACCGGAAAGGAGTGGCATGCGTATGGGGAAAATAATGAATCTAGGCCCTGGCTTCCGTGTCAAAGCCTGTGTCCTGAAAAATACTGTTTCTCTGTGCCTTCAGGTCACTATATAGCCGAGGATGACTTTGAACTCCCAATCCTCCTGTATTCTGAATGCCAGGATTCAGAGTCACACTAGTACACCCAGGTTCTGAAGATCAAATCTTGGGCCTAGGCACACTCGACAAACGTTCTATCCACCGAGTTCCATCCCAACCCCACTGAGGCCATTTTTAAAGTCCAGGACTCCAGTCCCAGAATTAAAAGTAATTGGTGAGAAAATGGATGAGATGGTGATCTCATATACTCAGCCATATTTATCTGAAGGTTTAGAAGATTGTGTGTGTGTGTGTGTGTGTGTGTGTGTACAAGTGTATGTGTGTATGTGTGTACGAATGTGGAGGCCCAAAGATGACAGCAGGTACAGTCTTTGCTCTTCAGTTTATCGAGGCAGAGTCTCTTGCTGGACGCAGGGACTCCTGCTGAACGTAGGCTCACTGGTTCCAGCTGGGTAGCCAGGCTGCCCTGGGGAGCTCCTTGTTTCTGCAGAGTTCTGGGATTGTGGCACCTCTGCCTGGCAGCCCCCACAGTCATGCAGCCAACACTTTATACACAGAGTCCCCTTTCCCAGTCTGTCACTGGACATGTTATAACTCATTATACGTAGGGTGCTTTTAGAAAATGGGTACCTGAAACTTTACTCAATAAATAGGATGACCGTTATCATTTCCTGCTAGTTGTATGTGCGAAGGTTGTTTATACTGAGAACATAGACTGGGATTTAGATAATTGATAAGAAGTAGATTTTAAATAGGGGGTGGATCCTACTGGATTGCCTCATCCAGCCTTTTACTGCTGGGATTACAAGCACGCACCGTCCTGTCCGGCTTCTGAGGGTCAAACGAGGATCCTACTACTGCTTGCCCCACAAGCCCTTGAACAACTGGGCTATGTCTCCAGCACTGACTCTGTTCACTCTAGAGAGACCGCTAAGAAGTTTCTTCTGAGTGTTTTCCTCCTCTTTGTAGCAGAGTGTGTATTACATGGCTCCATCCTTTGAACAGAGGGAAATAAAATTGGCATTAACTCTTCCCCTTCCACTGCAGTTGTGTGTGCTGTTCCAGGGACACAAGGGGCTCCATGTCATAGGGAGGGCAGGCAGGAACTGAGGGGTTACCTGCTAGAGCCCTTACCGTAGAGCTGAGGTCCAGGCAGCTTCTCACTGTTGCTCACCCGAGGACTGGCGGACAGCTTTCTGTCTATCCTTTGCTGTCTCAGGCTGGCCTCTGTCCGTGATCGGGTTTGGCAGCCGGGCTTTTTAGCTTTTGCTGAATCTATCTATTTTGATGTGTAGAAAATCGCCCGACCTTTAGTGTATAACCAGAGCCAGGCAGAGCACTGGGCTGTAGATGTACAGGGCGGGTAGCAAATGTGAACTCAGGCACCGTGACCTTGCCTTCTCCTGTAACCAACGCTGAAGTGTCTGGTGTGTAACCGCATGGCTCACGGCAGCTGTTTCTGGGCTTTTAGGACAGAAGACTCAATAACGGACGAAGACAAGAGGAGGTACGTGTGCTGTCGCAGCCCGTGTCACGTGAGTGGTTTTGGCCGTAGTGCATGGATGTGACCCACTCTGGCACAGGACCATGACACATATCCCGTCAGGTGGCACATTAACAGAGACACGGGATCTGAAACAACAGAGGCCCAGACCCAGGATCTCAGCTGCGACCCAGCAAGCTTGCGCTCTGCCCTGCCAGTGTGGCTCTCTGCCACCTGTTCTGCCCCCCGGCCGACTCCCCCTCCTCACCTCTGCACTTCTTGTTCCTCCCACACACCCTCCACTCTGCTCTGCATTCCCGGGTGTCCTGTCTCATGCTATCCTTGTCTTTCCCTGTGAGGAAGTGATTTCTGAATATCCACGTTGCCTAATGCCACAGGGATCTCTGAGTTTGCCCTACGCGGTGATGGATGCCAGTCACATACCGCTCGACTCTACATCACCATATGTACTTAGCTCACTTCTTTTCTTTCTCATTCCAAGCAAAGAAGTTAATTTTTTTTTGCTTATTTAATGGAGCTATTTCCCCCAAAGCTTCCTTTTAACATAGAAAAGCATGACTCTTTGAAAAGTCATGAGTTATCTTCACAATCATTTAATCGTTTGGAGTGGTTCATCCTTTATTTTTTGATCGTTTTCTCCCTCTAGCGCCCTTAAATTGATCTAATTTCTTTTCTTAAAGAAACTATGGCGGAGTGTACGTTGGTCTGCCTTCTGAAGCTTCCAATATGGTGTCTAGTCAAGCAAAGACAGTACGGAAAAGTAAGCAAGGGTTGTGTGGGGCTTATTTCCTTAAAAAGGTGTGTGTGTGTGTGTGTGTGTGTGTGTGTGTGTGTGTGTGTGCACGTGCATATGTATAGGTGTGTCTGTGTATATATATATATATGTGTGTGTGCCTGTGTGAGTATGCATGTATGGGTGTGTGTATATATATATATGCATGGGTGTGTCTATGCATATACACACACACATATATATGAATGTGTGTGTGCACGTGCACATTATGGGTGTGTATATATATGTATGGGCGTGTCTGTGTATATATATGTGTGTGTGTGCACACGCGTATGTATGGGTGTGTGTATATATGTGTGTGTGTGTGTGTCCATCTGTCTGTGTATGTATGTGTGATATTGTTTGTAGCTTTGTGGGAAATTATAATGAATTTTTAAAAAGATCTAAACACTAACTCTTACTAATTTTCTCTCGAAGATTAGAGGAAGATAACGTGATGTCTGGACAGTCAAGAGGTACTGTGTCTTTTTCTGAATTGTCTTGTGTGCTTAACCTCGTTAATGAAGGGACTGCTTGTGATGTCTCTGTGCGTCTAAGAAATCTTGCATACCAGGGCGTGTCTCCTCCTGTGACGTGAGTGTTTCATTCTAAAGAGACGGAAGCTCAGGTCCATTTTCTTCTGAACTGCCATGGTTTCACTTCGGTCTTTCCCAACTCCAGTGTAATTAGTTTAGTAAGAGTGAGCTGCATGCCTGCCTGAAACATCAGGGCTCACCAAAACTCAGGAGGGCTTAGAACTTGAATGACAGCTGGAAGATCTCGGTCAGAGACTCTGGCTAGGACTCAGGGATCGGTATACCCAGCGTGTAGCAGTAGGGCTCAAGAGGAGAGGCGTCCATCACTGGTTGAGATGGGTGCTCGTCCTGGCTGACACAGGAGCAGGTATGTGGGGAGGGAGAATTTCTGTTCACTTGGTCCCACGGCGTGGGCTGTGTTTGACTCTCCGCTCTGTGCCGTTCTTGCCAAACACATCCAGCCTCTTTAGCAGCCTCCACTCAGGAGTGCTGTTCCCCAGAGAGTCCATTCTCTGTTGGAAGTCGGACTCTTCCACCTGCTGGCTGACCTCAGTCTCATAATCTATAGACTGGATCTTTTGCTGAGGCATAAAGGTTGTTGTGAGGATTGAAAGAAAGAAACGGTAGCTTTTGCTTTTATCATTGCCCCCTTCTTTCTCTTCTGATCCCTCTCCCTGTCTTCCCCAGCTTGCTCACTGGGGAGCGAGATTTGATAGCTGTTCGCCTCTGTGTGGGGGTCAAAAGTTACCGCAGTGACAGTCAAGCAGTTACTGCTGACACCCACGGGTACCTGGCTGAAATACTCAATCAGCGATCATGAATCCCAGCGTGTTCTTTTACCTGCTTCATCTCCACGTAGTCAGTTTGATCCCGTTTCCTTTTTGCCTCACCTTTGCATTACCTGAATATAGCACAAGGGGCCGGCTTGTTGGGGTATCTGTCCCACCCAGTACCCCACAACCGGCAAGCCCTAATAAAAATCACACACAAGACTCCATAAGATTATAAACTGATTGGCCCATTAGGTCAGGCTTCTTATTAGCCCTTGTAACTTATATTAACCCATTATTCTGATCTACATTAGCCACATGGCTCAGTACCTTTCTCAGCTGGGCAAGTTACATGCTGCCTCTTCGGTGGTCTGCATAGGAATGGCAGAGGGAGCTTCCTGCCTCCCAGAATATTCCTATTCTCATTGCCCCGCCTCTACTTCCTGTCTGGTTGACCCACCTATACTTCCTGCCTGGCCAATCAGCGTTTTATTAAAATACATGATTGACAGAATACAGACAATTCTCCCACACCACCCGAAAGTTTTTCTCAACTGAAGGTCTTGGCTATCCGTTTTCGTGAGTGGCTATGTGTTCGTCGTTTGTCTGTGACACACCTACATCTGTGACTTGGCAGGCTAGGTGTTGGGCAGAATCCTGATGGGAGAACTGTTCCCTGGGGGCCTTTGATACAAAGGACAGGCTACAAGTTTTGGCCAACACCACACTCTTTCTGACTGGAATTCACCCCGTGAGCTCATTTGGCTGTGTTGGGGGGCCAAATCGATGAATGGCTTTCGGCATCTTGATCTGATACGGTTAGGTAGTTTCTTATGTCCCTGACTCTAGAGTGGAAACCACGGCCATACAGCTGTGGCCTTTTGAGAGGCGTCTTCTACCCAGGAAGGAAGTGGTAGCCTAGGCCTGCTCTCAACTGAGCCCGCCAAAAGGAGCTTATGTGGTGGCTCTCAGTCTGGACCACAGGCTGTGAGTGGTTGGACCCTCTCTGCAGGTTAATGCCGGAAAGGGATAGTTTATGACTTTATCTTTATTATGCGTGTGGTGCCGATATGCACACAGCCTGGTTTGGTTATTGTTAGTCTGGATTTTAATTCTTAATTGTATTTTTATAAGTTTCTCAGCATCCATTTTTATCTCTTTATATAAACATTATCAACATTCAGAACTATACCGCCCAATAATAAATCTTAAGTAGCTGTTGATTGGCTGTTGAAAACGTGCTCTATTTCAAGGCAAACTCAGTAAATAATTTTCAGGCTGAAGATGTGCTTTTATCTAAGTTGTGATTTTTTCGTTTTGCTAATTCTTTTTTTTCACTTTTTTTTTTCTCCTTTTACAGCCCATTCATGAATTTGGAAGGAATTTGGCTCCAGGGACATTGTATCTTCAAATAGATCCTGAAAGATGGTCCCCTGCTGTGCCTCCTCTCCCAAATCCTTAGTGTGTAGTGAAAGCCATGGGTGCAAACTGCGCATTGTGGCCGTCGGAGGAAATTGGTGAGACTTGGTGCTCACTGGGAGGACCCCGCGTCACCCACCAGTGAGGGAGCCGTAAGGCTGTTGCCACCCAGCTCACAGAAGTCATGTCTTTTCAATGATAACCTTTTGATAGTTTTTATATAGCGCAATCCTTACTGTATTTATAACCCGGTATTAGGGCCATATAAAGGAATTACCTGAAGTAATATATCGTCTCTTGTCCTTTGACGTTTCTCCTTCGTCATTTTTTCAGCTGTGAAGTTGGTAATAGAGTCTCACAACTTTCTTCCTAGTCGGTTTAAAACTTTCATTTAAATGTAGAGAATTCCCTCTGTTGAGGACATTGCAAGTATTTGAAAATGAACCAGTTAAATGTGCATGCTCCCTACACAGGTGTGGATTTAATTCCTGTTTTCTTTAATCAGAGGCTTACATGGCTCCAGTTGCCCGTTCTCCCTGTGTGTAATTAGAGCATCTCATCGTGTTAATTCCGTACTGTCTCTTAGGACTACGGTTGATGTTTAGTGGGATAGCCGGAAAGTTCCGAATTTGCTAACAACATGTACACCTACTTATGACTGCAGTGTAAGCAACCGGGTTTACCAGCGTATCTCAAATGATTAAATATTTTTATCCCCCTTTACCTGACTTTCTAAATTATTTTCATGAAACGACTTTCAAAGAAGCTACATGTGGTATTATCATATGTAGACACCGTATATCAGTATGTACAAATAACACTGGTTAAATAGATTACTATGAGAAGTGGGGGTTTTACCTAAGAGAGGTTCTGTCTTCTATATTTGGTTGATAATGGTAATTGTGGAGCTATCAAATTGCAAAACAAAAAAGTAAGAGTTACTAAGAACTTACGAGGCATATATTTCTCTCAATGTCCATAAGGCCAGCATGGCACTCAGGGGGGCATCGATGTTCATATAAGTAACAATAATAGCCCTGAGGAGCCTGAGGCACGAGAGTCAGGGGTTCAAGGCCAGCTGGCTCCACAGTGAGTTTGAGATCAGAATGGACTACCTGAGACCCTGTCTCAAAAAATATTTAAATTAAAAAACACCAACTACATTGACTTTGGAAAACCTAATTTACAAGTCTCTTTAGATGGATAGGAGGATGTAAGGATGGACTGGGGATACACTTCAGTTCTAACCGAACGTCATCAGTTTCCCGAGTCTCTTCCGTTGTTGTTCCAACCCCAGCTTAAACCCTGTCCCAATTAAATGGGTCGCTCTTGTCTCCTCTTCTTCCTGGTGGCATTTTTCTCAGCTTTTCCTTGTTATTTTTTTGTGACCACAAACCTTTTGAAGCCTACTGTCTGGGAATTTTGGAATATGCCGTTAATTGGCACTGTCCTGCACTTTTTATTTTAATATTTATTTATTTATTATGTATACAATATTCTGTCTGTGTGCATGCCTGAAGAGGGCACCAGGCCTCATTAGAGATGGTTGTGAACCACCATGTGGATGCTGGGAATTGAACTCAGGACCTGTGGAAGAGCAGGCAATGCTCTTAACCGCTGAGCCATCTCTCCAGCCCCACTCTCCTGCACTTTTATTTTGGACTGGGATCATAGATTGATTGTAAGGGGGACCCCCACTGAGATGGAATGACCCCTCATCACGTCACATCGTGAGATCTCAGGATCCCGACTTATTACCGGTGAAACTGACCCTGATCGGTTGGATGAGGGTCTCAGCTCTCTCCACCAGAGTTTCCGAGTTTCCCTTTCCCAAAACCTCGACGCCAGCGGTTCTCCACCTTCCTGACGCTGCGACCCTTAACACAGTTCCTCATGTTGTGGTGACGCCCAACCATAAAATTATTTTCGTTGCTACTTCATAACGGTGAATTTTGTCACTGTTATGAATCCTAACGTAAGTATCTGTTTTCTGATGGTCTTAGATGACCCCTGTGAAAGGGTCGTTTGCCCTCCAAAGGGTGGTGACCCGCAGGTTGAGGACCGCCGCTCTACATGACTTATGAGTCCAGACCACATTCAAAATGGGAGTTACGATCCACCCTCTCACGGAACTCGGGGTTGTTGACTAAGCTGGATGGCATTTGGCGATATTCTTGTTCTCACAGTGTTCCAGTTGTCCTCTAGGTATCTGGAGGAGAGTGTATACCAAGCCAGTCTATTCCGCTTCCCGTTCTGCAGCTCACTGGCAAAAGACCACTGATAGCGACAGAACGGCTTACACGCTGGGCCACTGAGAACGCAGCTGGTCAGGCATGGTCAGGCACGGTCAGGCTAGTGTAGGCTCACCTGACGGTCCTTCCCCCGATGACCCCAGCCACGCTCTGCCCTGCCTCACGTAGGAAAGGGGAACTTGGGGGTAACGGATGCCGTACTTCGTGCAAACAGACGAGTTCACCTAGTCGTACACATTTTGATGGATCGTGTAGTGTACCCTCTATCGCTCTGGATAGAGAAAACCTCTGCTATAGGGAGGAGAGCATTCTGGTAATTGGGTAATTGGGTGACACTGGACTGCAGGGGTTCTGCTTCTCTTTAAAGTTTCCACAGCTAATATGAAAGTGATCTTTGGATCTTGTCTCCTCAGGGTCCTGGGGATTGAACTCAGGGTCTTACGTGTGCTAGGCAGGTAGACTGAGCCACACCCAAGACCCATCCTTGGGGCCTATAGCATAATTACTGGGTGTTTCTATCCCCATTTTTTCCCTCCCCATTCCTTCAGTAGGTACTGCTAGGAATTTTCTAAAGTATGTATTTATTCATATCAATAAGAATATGTGGGTATTTATCTTGTTCAGGTTGCAATCTAATATTGTCAGGCTTTCTTGGTTTTGTCCAGCTTTGACCATTGGGAGCTTTTTCAGGCTCCGTTCTGACATTCTCTCTATCAGCCCCGCCCCCTAGGTAGACTCTCAATGGTGAGGAATTGGACAAGATGAAAATGTCATTCAGAAGTTAAAACTCCATCAAATTCCGTTACAAATGAACAGTCTCTTCCATATTACGACAAGTCCTAACATTTTCCTTCCACAGGGATGAGCTAAACTTAGAGCCTCCTAAATCCTACACGTTCACAACACAGCCACCCACCTCCTGAGTCTTAAGGCAAATGATTAATGTCTTTATGGAGCACAGTAAGAACCTGAAAGACAGAGGAGGGTAAACGATGAATGGGAGATTCAAAAGAAGAGGGCCAGGAGCCTGTCTGTGCTGCTTGGTTTTGTTGAACTAGACACAAGCCAGGCTCGCTCAGGAAGAGGGAACCCTGGTTGAGGAATGGCTTCTATCAGATTGGCCTGCGGGTATGTTTGTGGGCATTGTCTTTATTAATGATTGGCATAGGCAGGCCTAGCCCTCTCTGGGCAGTGCCACCCCTGGGCAGGAGGTCCTGAGTTGTATAAGAAAGCAGGCTGAGGGGCTGGAGAGATGGCTCAGTGGTTAAGAGCTTTGTCTGCTCTTCCAAAGATCCTGAGTTCAATTCCCAGCAACCACATGTGCTCATAACCATCTGTAATGAGATCTGGTGCCCTCTTCTGGCCTGCAGGGACACATGCAGGCAGAACACTGAATACATAATAAATAAATCTTAAAAAAAAAAAAAAAGAAGCAGGCTGAGCAAGGCACAGAAAGAGAGCCAGAAAGCATGGTTTCTCCACGATCTCTGCATCAGCTTTGCTGGACAGTGGACCATCACTTGGAAGTTTAAGATGAAGTAAATACTTTCCTCTCTAACTCACTTTTATCAGTATTTTATCAGAGCTAGAGAAAGGAAAAGACTATAAATGCATGAAATCTAAGATCTCACACCCTTTCAAACATTTTTTTTGCAAGATTATTGGTAAAAAAAATACAGTGGAGATGTGTGTCAGAGCATTTCTGATTAGGAGGCTGTCTGATGAAAAGGGTTCGAGTGAGGAGATGCACATTGTCACTTGGTTGCAAAGACTGCTAAGCCTTTCTGATTTCCTACAGAGGTGGCGCTCATCAAGAGGACAGCATGGAGGGAGGGTGTGATCTCTGGCAGTAGATGACTGCCTTTCCAGCTCTGGTCAACTCATACGCACAGGGTCTTAGAGCCTGTAAGCTATGGGAGGGGAGGTGGAGGTGGAAGAGGAGAATATACCCCAGTAGGTGTCAAAGCATCAACAAACCATGGTCGCCATCTGGCCTGTAGAACCGGAGGAATGGAAGAGAAAACCTAAGAGATCATGCATCTATTGCTGTGGGAGAGTGTTCTTGTATATTGTAAAGATTTGTCACTCACACTGATTTAATTAAAAGGTTGGCTGGTCAGTAGCCAGGCAGGAAGTATAGGCGGGGCAACCAGACAAGAGTTCTGGAGAGAGGGAAGGCAGAGACACAGTCCCCAGCCAGATGCAGAGGAAGCAAGATGAGAATGCCTCACTGAGAAAAGGTACCAAGCCACGTGACTAAACATAGATAAGATTTATGGGCAAATTCAAGTTGTAAGAGTTAGTTAATAATAAGCCTGAGCTAAGAGGCCAAACAGTTTGTAATTAATATAAGCCTCTGTGTGTTTGCTTGGGACTGAGCAGCTGCAGGACCAGGCAAGACAGAAACTTCTGTTTACAGTGTATGGTTTATGCAAGGGAAGTTTTAATTTTTAAATTAAAGTTTGTGTGTGTGTGTGTGTGTGTGTGTGTGTGTGTGTGTGTGTGTAGTGTGTGTGCCTACAGAGGCCAGAAGACAGCATCAAAGATGCTCTGGAACTGGAGTTACAGGTGGTTGTGATCTACCCAACATGGATGCTGGGAACCAAATGTGGGTCCTTTGGAAGAGGAGCAATTACTTTTGATTGCTGAACCATGTCTTTGCCCTTTGGTTTTATTTTTATTTTTAATTAGCAGGAAACAGGGTTAAGAAATGTCAGGTTTCCCCTAATACCCTAGGGATAGATTTGAACGAATTTAAAAATAACATAAATTATGAAAACCATAAAGCCAAGGGAAATACTAGCAAATAGTTACCCGACCTGAGACTGGGAAACAGCTTTATGTGAAAGAAGTGTGAAGCCCAATCCTTAAGGTAAAACATTGCTAGGCTTGAGTATATGAAAAATGAAAACGTATATTTGAAACCTGGAAACATTTGAAAGGCAAATGGCTGGGGAAAAGACAATGCTCATGGTAACCATGGGTCTACCCTGCTCTACATCTGAGATCTCCCGATGTTTGCAATAACCACACGGACACCCAACTCTACATCTGAAGACTCTCAGCAACTTTGTGGTAACCACGGGGGCTAGCCTGCTCTACAGAGGACTCTCAGATAAAGGGTATGATCAAAGATTCTAAAATGATTGTTCACGAAAGGAGTGTAAATGGTCGTGGAACCTTCCGGGAGGGCTCGTTCACATTCAAATACAATGACTGGAAGTGGTAATGAGGACATAACTACCCCTAGTCAATGGCATGTCCCTCCTCTGTCCTGTGGCTGCCAGTGTGATCGCATGGTCACTGCTGTGTCATGAGGATATCTGCTTCCAGTGACTGTGCTGCTCCCACTGACTGTGCTGCTCCCAGTGTCTGTGCTGCTCCCAATAACTGTGCTGCTCCCAATAACTGTGCTGCTCCCAGTGTCTGTGCTGCTCCCAGTGACTGTGCTGCTCCCACTGACTGTGCTGC